ACATCCATACATTTAGTAGCTGAAATGCATTGAGAACACTTTAAGGGAAAGGGGGTATCGTTTTCCTTGAATCACACATGAGCAATGAAAGCGAATTATATTTTCATTTCCTGGGCTTTTTAAAAAGTTTCAATAGCTAATCCAGATAAAAGGTATCTTCCTCAAAAATCAGTGGACACCCACCTTTATGTACCCACATGATCTATGAGAATACAATAACCAGACATTTGGCTCAGCTTAGAGAATCTGCCTGCTTTTGTGGCTGTCCAGTAGAAACAACAACACTGTTCTTGGCCTTTTAAGCACATGTGGCATCATCTTGTCTATGGCATATGTAACATGGTTATGTCATGACAGAATCTCTTTGTAGAACTTAAGAAGTTAGACTTTCTTGTTTGAAGGGAGTCAGGAATGAAGCCTCAATGGCAGTCATTTTACAGGGAGCGAAGTTCCTTGTAATGGCAGCTGTTACTAGTGTGCTTCTCCTCAGTGTGCACAGCTGTCTATGGTGAGCGACTGACAAGGTTTTGTATCAGAAAATTTAAAGAAAGAATTAGATCTTAGATTTTAAAATCGGAGATATGCTGAGCAGTCTCTTCTATAAACCCTGAGAAGCAGGACACTGCCTGGGATCCTCAAATTTGAGCTCAGAGTCCTAGAGTCTGAGAAGGAAGTCTAGTAGTTGTCCTTTCTGTGATTTTGTGGTACATCTGCCTCAACCATTGGGCATTAGTTTTGACCTGTATTGGACATTTAGTTTGAAATTCAATTTCCATTCAAGATGGGTCAGGACATGTCTAAGCCATCTGAGAATTTCATTGTGTTCTTAAACAATGCAGAATATCCTACTATCCCAGAGATTGGAAAGGAAAAATGTATTTCCTTGAACATCATGTAATAAGCTTTGATCTTATTCGGACTCATGTCTAGATGTCTCTAGAATCATTTGAGACTCTGGAGCAAGCACATTCTGAGTAGCTTGGTTGTGTGCTTCACAAGGCCAAGACCTTTGGCACTGTGTGTGACCTTTCATGGCATCCAGAACACACTTAAAACACATTAATCAAATGAGACAAAGAAACAGAACCAACAGAGGTTTTCAAAGTCAAGGGCGTTTTTCTTGGTGACCACCTTTGGCCTAATGTTTTCTTGTTGGGTGCAGTGCATCTTCTTGGGAGGGTACCAGATTCCTCCTTCCTCATTGCCCTGGTTATTTATTCTTTCCCCCTTTATTTAGACAGTTTTCTAGAGAGACAAACTTAGCAGCTTTATTGAGATGTAATTTGCCTATCATGATACTGACCTTTGAAATGGGTACTTCAGTGGTTTTAGTATATGCTGGTGATGATACAGCCATCACCATGGTATAAGGAACAGAGAGCGCAGGATGGCGCTGGTTGCCAGAGACATCCAGGTTCCAATTTTATGTACACATTGATCCCTGACAATTTTCTCAAATACCTCAGGCCTTCGTTTTTGTGACTCATGAGATGACTCTTCGCTGAGAGAATTGTTTGGAAACTTAAAATGATGCCCTGAGTACCAAGTACAATATGGTATCTCTTTCTCGATAGCCTCACTTTTTGAGTTTCAATTACCCATGGTCAACTGTGGCCCAAAAAATATGAAATGGAAACTCCCAGACATGAACAACTCATGGATTTTAAATTCCACTTCAGTACAGTGGACTTTTAATTTTATTTCTTTTCTTTTGTTATCAATAGGTCCTTATCCCAAAGTAGCTCTTTCTGTAAGGTTCTCACTTCCGCCCTTTATTTAATTTTCCCTATCATAGAACATTAATGTTACAATGAACTCCAGAATAGTCCAGTTAAACATTTCCTTTAACAGTCAGAAAAACTAACTCTCTGCCCAGAGAAGGGGTTTGGTCACAAGGTCAAGGCTAGCTCAATTCCAGCAGGTATTTGTTAGAGTGGGGCAAAGCCTTCTGGGACATGGCACTTCCTCAGAGATCTAGGAATCTGGCTAGAATGCCAGGCTCTGGAGTCCAGTCACTGACCCCCACATCTCCATACTTCTTTCTCCAAAAGCAAGGCTACCCCTGCTGTTATGTGGGTTCACTAGTTAGGAATGTAGTCAGAAGGCTGGCAAACTGCAGCACACTAAGTGCTTATAATATTCATGAAGTCACTGTTGTTTAGAAAAAGTGGAAACCACTACCATTCTGAGGAGAATCAGCACATTTGGTCTGAATCTTGAAATTTTTGGGGGTTTTCTGTTTCTGAATAGAGAGGGCTGACATTCTCCAGGCATCTCTGGTTTTGGAGGGATCAAGACTCAGGGGATTCTGAGAGAATATGTTTCTTGCAAGTTACTCTGTGGCTAATAGATGATATGGTTTGTGAAGAGTTTTGCACCAAGCCGTTGGTAAAAGGTGTGTGTGTGTGTGTGTGTATGTGTATCAGTGTGTATGTGCATGTGGGGTGCATGTGTGTGTGCATGTGTGTATGTGTATGTGTGGGGTGTGTGTGTGTGAGCATGTGGTTTGTGTGTGCATGTTGTGTGTGTGTGTGTGTGTGTGTATGGCAGAAGACATCAGCAAAATATTGAGAGAAGATTTGATAATACTTGTAAGCCTTAGAATTTCTTTTAATTAATTTTTAAATTCACATGTAAAAAAATCCACTGCAACACTTCCAATGTTATCCACTTAGCAGTTATATATTTAATAATGTAACATTTCCCCATCCCCCCACTCATCTTTTCCACAGCTTCTTTCCCCTTTGTGAGCCAAATGCTATATCCTCGGTATGCAGGGGTCTGCTGTATAGGTTGCAAACAGCCCTCAGACAAGCAAGAGAATCAAAATTGGGTGTTTTCCATCCGAAGAACTGTTTAGGGTTCTAATTTAAAATGAATAAAGCCTTTCAGCAGGCTGAGTGTTTCCCTAAATCAACTGGATTTTATGTAAACATTTATCTCTTTCACACTTTTCCACCTACCACACCATTCCTGTAGTAATGGCTCGGTGAACATTAATGCTTTCACCAGATCCTTTTTGGGAACAGGAGTGGGGGAGGAGAGGGAAGTGCACATAGGGCAGGCAGAACACATTATCTGGAGCCCAGTTGTTAAAAAGCAAAACTTCAAAAACCAAGGAGCAAACAAGGAGAAGATGCACTCAACCTGTCTTTGACCTGGGGAAAGATGTAAATGACCTCTAGCAAGTGTGTGCTGGGGAGCAGATATGGTGTGGGGTGGCTGTGGGGGTCTTGCTTGGAAAGAGGCTCCAGTGAACAAGTCAAGATTGTAATGGGTCCTCGGAGCAGCTCTGAGGGTTTGTAAGTGATCATGGCTGGTGAGTGTATGAGTACAGATACATGTCTCCACCCGGAACCAAAATGCTTGCATTCAGTCCTGACTTAAACAAAAGCCTCTCTCCTTTCTAAGCCCACCCAAGTTAGCCCAGGCAGACAATCCCTGCACTTTTGAAAGCAGGAGCAGGTATAAGCGTTCCAGACTGTGCACAGCACTGAACTGATTCCTTTGCCTGATCCTTCTGGAGAATTTTGATCAACACCCCCACACCTCCATGACACAGAAAGCCATGCCTGCCCTCCCACACACCCCATACAAGACAGCCCCAGAGACTAGCCCAAACCAGATGTTAAACAATGGAAAAAATGTAACCGCCATTTCCAAATTTGTACCCAACCTTATTGGGTTGGGAGTATGTTGCCCATCGTTTTTAGTAAAGATTAAGAGTTTCAGAAACAAGATAGAGCAATTCTCCCCTCCATCCGTTACCTTACTGGCATCTTCTCATTGGCTTAGTTTTTAGTGAAACATACAGTTAACTGGAATGCTTTCAAATTCTTTTGTGTGGTTGTTTAAAAAAAAACAAAACAAACAACAAGCATAAGGCCATGCTAAGAGCCTCTCACCAACCCATGCTTTTAAAATAGAATTTTCCTAAGACTGGTTCATTTCTACTTATTTTTATTGGTAAATCCTGGGGAAAATGTATATCTTTTCCTTTAAAGTTCTAATTCAAGGCGTAGATGCGAGAGTTCTGAAGGGACCTTGGGACTGCGGTAAAATTTCGTTGTCATAGTAACAGAAAGGGAAATAGGCCTAGCTCACCTGGGACTTCAGCACTGCAAAAGCTGGATTTTTTTTTTTTTGAAAAGGACTCTGCAAGTGAAATAAATGAAAAACTTATTTATTTTGAAACAAAAAATTTTAAAAATAGGAATGAAGCAAATTGCTGCAAAGGTTCCATTTGCCATATTTCTTGATTGAAGCAACGGTGTGACTTGACCGAGGTGCCCAGTTTTGCAATGACACAGATCATTTAATGGAATGTGGGTTTCAAAAAAGAAAAATCATGTCTTACAAACAATAACCACAGATCGAGATCTGTGTTTGTCTAGGTCATCTCTAGAGGGACTGAGGGGTCGTTCCTATTTGCTATTAATCATGAATGCCTGGGGTATCCTGGCCCGGTAGACTTAAGCTTTAGATAATTATATAGTGTTTTATTATTTCTGCACATGTTGTGGGAAACTCTGGGACCACCTTCAGATGTGATCATGAAGTTATTGTGTGACCAGTGAAAGGTACAGACCCGAAGAGTCCTAGGTTCTGGGCCTTGTCCTGTCATTCTTAACCCAGAGTGATACTTTCTGTCCAGCAGGGGCCACTGCTGCATTCGGAGCCCTCTTTTGCAGACTGAAGGCTGTACAGATTCCAGGAGGGTGGGTGTGCGGACCAGAGCCCAGATTGTGAACCGATTAACAATCCCCCACCGTGAGGGAGCAAGAGGGCTCTGAGCTTGCCATTGAAAACATCCAAATTTGCAAATTACAGAGGGTCAGCAATGTTCCTCTCCCAGCCATGGCTGGTTGAAATTGCCCAGACCTGAAACACAATCGCCTATTTTTTTTCCTCAAATCAAATCTAATAGAACACAGATAGAATCTCTCGTTTAAAAATGTTTACTGAAAAAAAAAAAGTAACACATTGCTTTCTTTTCACAGATTCTTTTTAAAATTTTTCCTGAAGTGCAATCAGAATTGTTTGAAAACAGCGGGAAACCCAAGGGACATGAGACGGTTCCAGGTAAGGGGCTCTGAGGATCACACCTATTAAATAAGTCACCCTGTGTTGTTCGTTCTCTCTCTCTCTCTCTCTCTCTCTCTCTCTCTCTCTCTCTCTCTCT